ACTTGTTTCCAATGACTGAGCAACAAGGAAAGTTAACACAGCAGGGTAACAGTCATTTATTAAAGGTTCAATAGGTTTTATATTATTATGTTTATATTCTAAAGGTTTTATAAAGGGGGAAGCACAAGACTGTCAGATCATTTTAGGGCATGAGTAAGAACTGAAGCACTACAAGCATTCCATACAGACCATGGCATAATTACCATTATAGAATAAGAGCAATATGCAATAGCAAACAAATACACTGTAGACATAGAGAAATAGAGCAACTAAACCTTCAGAAATAACTGCCTTTGAAGTGTAATTCAGTCAGACAAGTGAGTGCACAAGTGAGTGCAGCAGCTCAGGGGCCCAGAGCTGGACGTACCTTCCAGGATGTGCATCCTGACCAGCTCCGAGCGGTCCGGCCGGCTGCGGATCTTGTGCTTCAGGAAATTTTCAGTCTTAGAAGAAAGGAGGAAATGGCATTAACTACTGTTTACTAGAAAAATCAAAGTTTGATAAATCCCATATCTCCAGTCAATGACTTGTGCTCTTTCATGCAGATGGGTGGACACCACTGTCAGAATATGGGGTTCGTTTTGCTTTTTTGTTTTCCTATCAGTTAAGCAGTGCTAATGAATTTCCATCTTCCCCAAACAAGTTGGGAATGTTGCTGGATTTGATCCCATATCACCATATAATCACAACAGCACAGATTTGCTACAGAAATACTGCACAAGCATAATTTACCCAAGTATCCCATCTTTAACTGGGGGGAACATTACATTGTGACCACAAGTTCATCACCCACCCTGATCTGTGAAGGCTTAGGAAAGTTCCTCTCAGATTTGACACCCATATTTTATTCTAATGAATTCTTCCAAGATAAAAGCACATGTTATTACTGTAGTGCTAATTTTCCATGTACTCAGAGAATTTAGTATCACACACAACTGACTATCCATTTCCAGATGTTAATCACAAGTTTACACAAAGTGGTTTACCCTGGCTCGCTCCAGGCTCTTGATCTGCTCATGGAATGCAGCTGGACTTTTCAAAGCTGTGAAGGGAGAGTAAGAGTTAAAAATGGCAGCAGTGATTTCCAAAAGAAATATCCTAATCAGCACATATGCATGGGTGTTTCCCACCACCTCGGAGTCGTGTTTGCATCTGACCAGGCTCACATCTGATTCATGTTAGTTGGGTTCAGAGCAATACTCCTATACAGAATACAGATATTACCACGGAACAGTTCACTTGGTCACTATGTGTTTGTTTACCAATACAGTTCCACAGTAGAAATTGTATTAGGTAAGCTTCAGAATGCCAAAATACCGTTTCATAAATACTGTATTTACTGTCTGACCATACCTCACACTTGCTGTTATTAGAGAGAACTGGACTGTCCCTTAGGAACTACTGGTGCTGATTTAAAAAAAAATATAGAGACCTTAAATGTTCAGATTAGAAAACAGAACGATGGTTAGCTGCTAAATAGCCCAAAAGAGTAAAAATCACTCTTCAGCTAGAAATAACATAAACTGTAGAGTGCTTCATCTCAACTGAATTGCTGGAAGGGTGAAACAGCAGCAGGCACAATCCATCTGAATTGCCATGCTTTTGGCAGAGGAGATACCACAGCACAAAACCTTTCACACTCTCTGACGGTTTACAAGTTTTTTCCCCAGGTTTCACTCAAAAGCAAACACATTGTTCTGTTCCTGAAGGTAATCAGCACTACAGACCTGGGGGGTGAAGATGCTTTAGCAAAGCAGTCTCAGGTCTGCTGCACACCCAGAAAGCTTCAAGAACAGATTTGCTTTAAGACACTGTGCTTTCAAGCTACAATTCACCAGTGCACACTGGGCTATTTTTAATCACTTGCCATAATTTTGGTATGTTTCAATGGCTGAGGTTTTTGTTTGCTTTTGATTAAAATCACTTTTCACAGTTGAATCTCTTGACAATTTGGACCTATTATCTTGTGGCCAGTCTCATTCCACACTGTCCACTTGCGGATTCTCGATGCTCTCTGTGCATGCCTCAATTTGTTTGGCAGCCCTTGCCATCCTACTCTTTAAAGCTGGCTTTGTTACTAATGTCCACTCAATTATGTAATTCAGTTTATTCAGTAAATTAGTCATAATTATTTAAATAGAGAAAATAAAAGGAGAATCAGACTACGTCTCCAAATCCTTGAGTTTTCCTCACAATTGCTGAAACATGATGAATTTACTGCATGCTCATGGAGGTTACCAAAAGGATTCCACAAGTCTTTTCCAAATGCTGATGTTATTTTTAATGACTCTTCATTATTTTATATATTCAGTTGAAAATACCTACAGTATTGAAATACAAATGACTAGAAATAACACAAGTCTTACGTGGCATGATGCCCTGGTCCACCAGCTGTTCTCGTGTCCGTCTCTGTTGCAGCCTCAGCTGAAGTACTGACAAAAGAAAACATTGATTCCCATGTGAGCACAGAAAGTGCAAAACCCCACGTAGTTCAACTTCAGAAATATGCTCTGTCTATTCAGACCTGACAGTCACCCCTAAGACCTGCTGTTCACACAGTTCAGAGCAGTGACTCCCAATCCACCCTGGCAGCAGAGGTTGCTGCTCTGTGCTCACAACTGACAGAGGGGCTGCATTTCACACACACATCCACTGTTCCTATCAGCTGGGCACTGTAAGGGGTATTAAGCATACATCAAGAAAACAGTGAGGTAAGAAGAATTTATACCATAAATTGCAACACATAATGACTCCAGAGCCTCATTACATGTCCTAAACCAATCTTCCGAGACTTCACTGCTGAAACAGAAATCATGTTTCCAGAGCATTTCAGAAGAAAAGCTGTACGTGTTTGGTTGATGGTTTTTTCTTAAGGATTTTTTTTTAATTTAAAGGCTGATTGTACATTTAAATAAACCTTGCTGAAACATAAGAAACTGAAGAGAAACCAGATTTTATGTGGCTTATTTAAAAACACCAAAAAAGTGACACAATCAGAAACAGACCTTATCCTCTCTCTGAACATCAGAAAATGCTGTTTTCCAGACTAAGTGTTAGCATAATTACTTCAAGGAAAAAATAAATCCAATACTGTCAAACATGGCAAAACTGTTTAGAAAGTTTCAGAGATAACTTCTTATGTTTCATTACATTTAATAAAATACAGTTTCTCATTGTTACTGTGTGAGTAACCAGTGTGACACACATTACATACTACATTGGGAACCACAAAACCTGGGGGAGGATATAAACATAAAAGCCTTGTATTTTCAAAAATTATGGCTTTCTTGTAAATTTTTCCAGGGAAAAGAAATAATAAGGAAAAAAAATAGTTGTTTCTTTCTTCTACTGTTCCCTTCCCCTTGTTTCTGTATCAATTTATCATAGTGCTTCATTATCTCTTTGGCACATACAGCTATGACCCCAATTTCATCTTCTGAACAAGGGAGGGTCAAGAGAAAACATACATTAAAGATGTAATATTTACATTCTTAAATTCAGACTTGATAGCTTATTATGGATGTATGATTATAGTATGCTGTTCCCATTGTATTTCATGAGGAAGCAAAACAAGCTAATGCATTGTCCAAAACATCAAAATGAATGTAATTTCTGAAAAATTAAGCTAAGGACAAAGTTCATTGTTTCCAGAATTTAAAAGGAACCAGCTTATTTCCTGTTCTGCAGTACAGGAAGGATACTCCTCTGGCTAAAGCATTAAGACCGGGAATAGCAAGTCCTGAAAACAAGGACATTATTTTCTTATGTCACACAAACATTGAGAGCTTAAATACAAACATCTTAGAGCTGTGGCACAGCAGATCTGTTCAGATTTTACAACACTGTTACACAAGAATTACAAAGGACAGAGATGAGAGAATGCAAAAATAACAACATTAAAATGGGAATTGATGAAAAACCATTCAAAAGGTACCTGAGTCCCTCTGGAAACTTGAAAATGTCTGCTTTAAGTAGGGCACTGTATTTTCCAAGTAATAGAATATGACTGTAAAAAGTTACCTGAAGAATTATTTTATAATAGTTCATTTTTGTGCTCCTTAATTTCACGTGTCTCCAAGTAAGCCATGACCTCTTCCTAAGGTATCCCTTACCAGCAGGTGCAAATGTGTGCTGCCTGGGCTCTGGCACCAGCTCAGAGGCTGTGCTGGACCCTGCTCTCAGAGCCCTCCCCAGGCTGGGCTGGGGCACAGTTACACACTCCCACCAAAGCCACAGAGCAAGTTCAAATCTTCCTGCAGAAACCCACGTGGATGTCCAAGTCCACTTGGTCTAATCTACCCAAAAAATGCAACTAAGTGTGTGCAAACATGCATTTATGGATGGATATCCAACTCTACAAATCCACAAGCTTTAGTATACAAATATGCATTAAAAAAATCATTCCCATGGCAGTGCAGTTCAAGCATACAGTCTAATGATATAATGTTAAGCTTCTAACCCTGGGGATACTTCTCAGAACTTCCCCCATCACTGACACAAAGCCCTGACTCAGTCACTAACTGGTGTGGTGTTTACAGGAAAGCAAAAAATCTCGGGTATGTTCTTGTTCTGGATTTCCTTGCTTACAACCAGTAAGATCAAGCAAGCTCAGAGTCTGCCTTAAAACTAGATGTACAATCCCTGTAAAAATCTTAAGCGAGTCTTACCCACCCAAGTCATGTGAAAGAAAATTTATATACAGCGTGGCACGACTACTGTATTCAGACCCAATATTTTTGGTTCTGAGTAGATTAAAACTTGTCTTTCTTCTGTTCTTTAAACTATGCTTTCTTTTACACAGCTAGAAAGCTCTGGCAAGGGTGGAAAACCATGTCCTGCTCTGGGCAGGAATCTCATCCATACTGTACAGCTGTATTTGGTCCAAAGTTACACCACACTTACATTTGGCTTTCTTGGAACACCAAGCACACTACAGATGTGTCTGCCTAATCTTTTACCTAGTTACAGGTCAGTTCTAAACATATGCCTCTTTATTTCAGGCCCAAAGTCTTCAAGCAAAATGACCTGCTCCAACATCAGTGATGTCCACAGTGGAGCTGATTATGTCAGACACAGTAAGTAAACCAGAATTAGTAATTTTTTCAATTAATTCTGTGGAACACAGTGAATGCTGGCAATATTAGACCAGGTACAGGAATGTTAGTACTGCTGTGGTTCATATACCAACATAGAACAGGCAAGTAATTGATTCAGAAATAATGCATTTGTGATGGTATTTCTGATTTCTAAGATGCTTTGTCCTCAGACTGTCTCTGTTACTAAGCTTTCTCACAGACCCGATTTTGTAGGTGTAGCTGGCTCAGCTGTAGCTGCCTAAGCTTTGCTAGGATGGTGCTTTCAACGTTAGTAAACACAAGTGGGAAAGAATGTTATTACTGAACACGTTGTAATGACCAGTATTTCCAAATGTAGATGATGGGAAGCCCTGCTATGACATTTATTGTACTGTATCTAGGATTTGTGGCTTCAATTATGATCAGACATTTGGCTTAAGCTGTGCAGCCAAACTGACCCATACCTAAAGAATGTATGTGCACACAACCCACATGCACTCAGGTGTGAGCAGGGAACCAATCCTGCCTGTCTCCTAACACTCCCTGCCTGCACAGCATCTGGGAACCGACACTGGGCATCACAAAGCAAATCAGGGAGGATTTTGAAGCTGTCCCATCTGTATCTGGACAAGTCACAAGAACTGTGGGAAAACTGAAAAAAAAGGAGAGATAGAGAAGACACAGAACGTGCAGTTATTCACTTTCTAAATAAATACCATGAACTTATAGATTACATAATAAAGGACAGCCTGTAGCATGACTAATAGGGAAGCACTGCAGGGGGAATACGAAAGAAGAGATGACTCATAGTTAGAAAGATGGTATAAGATGATAATAATTGAAGAGTTTGACTTGACCAGAGCAAGGAGGTTAAACAGAAATAAAACTGGATGAAAACCAGATGTTTGCTTTTGCAATCAACTCAAAATTAAGAAGGTTAAAAAAAGGTTTGGTGTCTAAATTTAAAAAAAAAAACATAAATCCTGAGCAATCAGATGTATTATTAAAGAAAAGAAAATTTCTAAATAGAAAGCAGTAGTGAATAAAACCACTAAATATATTATTTTTAAAAGCTGAAAAGCTAAAAAAGTTTTGCTTTTCCAAAGCAAACACACTGGGGAAAAAACCCAACATTTATATCTCTATGAAAGACCTAAGGACCTAAAATACTTTTAGCCCCCACACAAAGTAAAAAGCAGAGATGTTCCTAAGGAAGAAATGGCAACACCTGTACTTGAGTTGCATAACTTCATCTAGTCAGAGCATTTCTGGGTTACAGATGGTCACTACAGACAGCAGTGACCCTTCTCTTCCCTCTGTGGGGTGATGGACAGCAGTTACAGACAGACTTGTCAGACTGGAGGTGAACCTGAAGGAGGTATAAAGGAAAGGAGCAGGAATGAGGTTTGGGAAAAGCTTAGAAGAAAATGGGGACTCACAAAAAGCAGCTCAAAGAGCAGCCAGCCAGCCAGGAAGATGGGAGTCATGGAAACTAAATCACAAGTTTTCAGTAAGGAAAACACGATGAAATTATCTTCAAAGACAAGGATGAACGATGTGAGAATTGCACTTTGGCAATTTATTTCAGTGAGAAACCATCCAGAATAGAATTCAGGTTGGTTTAAATCTACCGTAATTAACGCTGATACAGACTTTGCTTATCATATATATAGAACTCCATACAGCAAGAGATTTCTAGAACAGTCAGTGACACACAAAGCAGTAAATCTAATAAGGATGGATGAGACAGGGGGACACAGCTTCAAAAAAAAAAATCTAAAACCCACTGAAGCATTATCCAAATATAACATATATGTATTTTGCTACTTGTTCTAGTGAGGGTTTAGAATTTTTCTTCCCCCTCCCCTTTATTTCAAAAAACTCTTTACAGAAAAGCCAGCACAGAATCTGGGGAAGGGAGAATTCAAAAGACACGAGGTGCAGGTACTACAAAGTTCCCCTGGGAATGGTACTTACTCCAACACTGTGTTTAACAGATTGTTCTTATCAGGGTAAATCCGTTCAGCTTGTAGCCAGATAATTCACCTCTCACTTTTACACTGGTAAAATCAGGCAGTTACCCACATAACATCTAAAATCACAGAAGATGATCTCTGAAATAAAGGCCTCAAATTAACAAATATGTTAATACAGTGTTAATATTAGCAATACTCTTCCTCCTATTTCAAGTGCATGTGCAAAAGAAGGACTGTGTTAACACCACTGAGCAAATCTAGTTGCTAGAAGATGGTACAAATATTTTGCACTTCACATTATCTGGCAGGACTCCTCCTTCACACCACTGCAACTCTTAAAAACTGTCTGTGAACTGCTTTTGAATAAAAGCCATGCACAGAGAGGTCAGTCAAATTCCTGTTTTGACTGAGGGAGAAGGGCGGGTGTTCTTTCTCATTTTCATGTCAGGGTATGATTTTAACACTTGAACACCAAGAGATTTCAAAATTTCCAAGTGTTTTCTTCAGTCAATAAAATGATCATTAAAGCCTGCATAGCTTACTTAATACCTCCTGACAAAACAGGAAAGCATAATCCCCCTCACAGCAAGAACATCTGGTTATCTGACTCTCAGAGTCAGCACAAGTCTTGTGACTGCACTGGAGGTGTGGATTTTTCACCAGCTGAAAAAAATGAGCACCAGAGGCTGGTGCTCCCACTCTGACAGCTTCCTCCAGTGGCAGCACAGCAGGGAATCAACACTCCAGGAGCCAGGGAACAGAGATGGTGGTAGGACAGGGAGAGGTCACCTGTAAACCGAGGCACTTTATCATGCACAGCTGTGCTTCTGTAAAGCAGCAACTTTTATAAAGCCAATGGCTTTTGTTCTCAGCCAGCGAGTCCTGCTCAGGGCACACACACTGAGCCCTAACGGGGCACAGGATCAAGGACACCCAGAACCAGCAGCTCCTCGAAGGGCTGCGAGGGGCTGAGGGCAGGAAAACTGGCAAACAGACACTTCAGGAGACACATCACGTTCTGTACGAGCCCCTTGGAAAGGCAGGACAGGAAAGGAGTGTCCAGTCACGTCTCACTCGGTGTGAACAGCAGAATGAGGGAAAATAAAGGGTATTATTACATCACCTCCAACAAACAGCTTTTATCAAAGCTGAGCAAGTGATCTCTGTTACAAATCTGTAATGTGTATCCTATGGAAGAGCAGTCTCAAAGTAGTCCTATATCATCACAAGCACTGGAATGTAAAGAGGCCAAAAATAAATGGATAGTTGTCCTACAGGAACAGTGCTATCTGTGCTGATTGACAAGCTTTCACCACTGCTTCTTGTCTTGAAAAATCCCAGAACACATGCTGTGCACAGTTCCAGCACTAGTAATTCCACCTCTAACACAGTTCATTACTAACCTATTAATTTAAAATCAGATTTTATCTTTTTATAGAAGGTACTATGAAACAGCAAATAGCTGTTGCCATTTCACAATTACAGGGCTGAAGGAGAAGGGCTCCATCACCCAGTTCTTTCAAGTGGCAGCAAAAAGAAAAACAATGCATCCAGATTTTTTTTTTAATGTTCCGTATGTAATCATCTCATTATTTCTTCCAAAGTTTAAATCCAATGGGTATTAGCTATTTAAACCCTTAAACCTGCAAGTAAAAATGGGAAAATGTCATGTCCAACATTCCTGCATACCCCCTTGGAAATTTCCAAGCGGCAGGAACTCCAGAGCCGGCTGCTAGGCTGGCTGCCATGGAAACAGCGCTGGAAATAGGGCCTTTTCCTTTAAATGAGGAGCTGTTCCACTGAAAGCCTCCATTTCTTCCTGCCAACTTAAAGCAGCTTTTCTGCAGCCAGAACCTCTGCCCGCTGAGGCTGCAGCGCAGGGAGCGGATGCTCGCACAGCCCCGCGGCACCGCCGAGAACAGGGGTGGGCTCTGCCATCCCACCCTCCGGAGTCACTGCAAACCGGGGACTTGGCACCGGGACCGCAACACTGACACACGGGGACGAGCAGCAGGAGGGCAGGGAAGTGGAACAGAGCATTTCATCACACGGAGGTGGGCTCGAGGAGCGCTCTGAGCATCAGCTTTGTATTAGAGCTGCAGCCCAGCCCCACAGGGCAGCACAACTTGAGTATCAAGGCCTTTCTGTGCATCCCACAGTGTTACCCCTGCACCCAAACCCCGTCTGCCTGCACTTCAACGATTATATTTTCTAAACAGCACAACTTTACACTAAGGTCATTTTCCAGAGACAGAGGTTTTGCTTTCTCCTGAGCTGTGATTGTTTCTCCCTCAGCTCTATATGAGGTGTGGTACTCTATTTAATAAATTATTAAATGCTTCATTGAGACAAAAATGGTTAATCTTTTCCACTAATATTTGTTCTGTGAATAAAACAAAAAATTAGTAAATGGAATGTGCTGTATAATAAGTAAAAGAAAGAGCAGGTGATAGGCAAGGCACACATTTCAGGAAGGGTATGGAGTGTGGGGGCTTGCACGTGGCACTACACGTTCCACTTGAGCAAAGTCAGAAATTCGGTAATCCAATGCTCACTTCATTTATGTGGCATGCCAAAGAAGGAAGGAAGGAGAGGGAAAACCAGGAAAGTATTTAGCTACCTGTAATTTGTTGGAAGTGATTCCAAGTAAGTTGTACAGCATTTTAAAGACCAAATGCATGTGAAATTGTGGCACGCCCCATCAGCCTGAAGATGGTGACACAGTATGTTAAACACTCTCCATTTTAAAACAAAAATAATTGATCACCAATTAATTTTGTAAAAAAAAAATCAGGCATCATCTAATCCTGAGTGAATGTGTTATACTGGGTTTAGTCTTCAAAACCGCCATGTATGCCAGGATATAATTTAAAAAGGGAAATATTTTACTTATTTTACTGGTTTTTATTAAAAAAACCCCAAACCACCTTTCATATCTTCATATAACTTTATCTTCTTTTTTCCACTATTTTATGTGTGATTTTGCTGCTAAAACTATGCCCAAAATAATTAAGGCAAGTGAAA